TATTTTGCATTAGGAAGAGAACTTCTAGAATCGAAGTTTAGCTCAAGTTATCGTCACAATTACTCTTCCAATAATTTGTCTTTCTCGTTTCTTCGCCATTCTTAAATTTCTTCTTCAAATTTTCTTCGAAGACGTCTTTTTTGAATTTTGAGTAACACTGTTTAAGTATTGTAAATGTTTGCTTTCGAGCATGTCCGATGCAATAAGGCTCGTGAGATGTTTCCTTCAAATATGGAATATCTTTGTTTATTCTATACAGTAAGCTGTCGTAAGACATTCAACCGTAGTTTTGATAAAAATAATTTCGGCGGTGCATGCACAATGTCCATTGACATGTCCATATCAATTAATCTACTTAATCTACAGTAGATCTAGTAGATCTTGAGGCACTCTTCTTCTGAGTCTTCTTGTAGTCATTAGGTTGTCCATTAAATGCTTAGCAAGGTTATTCGGATGGGCTTCCAATCTTACACAATATGCTTTAGCTCGATGGATTACTTCATGTTTGACTTTTCTTATGGCAAGATCATAATGGATTCTTTCATTTGTAACATACCNATGCTTTAGCTCGATGGATTACTTCATGTTTGACTTTTCTTATGGCAAGATCATAATGGATTCTTTCATTTGTAACATACCATGGTGCGTTCACTATCATCCTGAGCGTTTTTGATTGAAATCTTTGAAGGATTTCAATATTTGAGTTTGACGCAGTACCCCACAATTGGATGCCATATGACCAAATGGGTTTAATAACAGATTTGCATAGTAAAAGCTTGTTTTCAACTGACAGTTGAGACTTTCTATTAAGAAGCCAATACAATTTACGTATTTGCTGACCCACCGCAAGACGCTTGGTGAATATCTTTGTATAGTTGAAGAACATCAATTAATACATCGCGTTTGGTAACGATTTCCTCCCTGATTTAAATAAGGGTACGCGCAGCCGTCCTTATTGACGTTCCGCACACGACTAGTTCGTTCGCCTCGTTCGGCTTAATAGTCCACACGACCGGATTCGGTACGGAGCAAACCATATCCGATGTGCAAGCTAGCGGGCCGAGGCGGTTTCATTAATAATTATGTTCGCAGGACTATTCTACAAACGGCAAGACTTGATTCAGAAGCGAACCAAATTCGTGGTCCGTTCGAAGCTTGTATTAATGATTTTCCTTAAATCAAGCTCAAAGGGGATGGCCCATTTTAGGCCCAAAGCGGACAATAGATTATAGAAAAAATACTTAGTGCATTAATTTTGTCATAAATAAATATGCATTTACTTTCTTGCAAATAAGCGCCACTACAGTTTACAATAAGTAGTTTAAAAAAAGTAACTCTATTGAAAAAACAAGGATTTTTATTTTTGCGGGAAAAATATTGCCAGCTTNTCAATGAAATCTCAAGGTGGACAAAAATGTCTAAGTAATACTTAATAAAATATTAAATATTTGTTCAGAGTGGGGGTATTCATCTGATTAATCCATGGAATAACCGACACACCTAATCTCTTAACCCAGATAGAAATATCAGCACTGTCGATTGCACCTATAATTGAGGTGATGTCTGCCATGTACTTTTGTCAGTTTTTAAAATTTTTTTATTGATGATCACTTTGTTGGTGCAACTAAATAAATAAATTAATTAAAACTATATATAAAAATAAAAGTAGTGCCAACCCTAGCAAATTTCTCATTTCATCCCAATTAACCGCAATTTTCGGGCAAATAGGGATTACACCTATTTTTGCATTTTTTGCTTAAACTGGAATGCTAGTTGCATAATTTTAAATTGGACAACAAAGATGCCCCCAAGACTCAATCATTTTGATCCTGATATAGCATTATATACATCAACAACTACCTTAAAATTGCTCATAAAGTTGGAATTTGTCCCTAATCGCCCCATTTTACGGTATCTCACAATCCGACACTTATTTATATAGAAAATTAACCTCAAAACGAGTTTTTATTTTTATTATATTTTTTATAATAGTGGCGTCAATTTCAATATATTTTTTTGATATCCAATACATTTAAGAATTTGAATCAGTACATTTTTATAGTAATATTTGATGTCCATCTTGGGCCTAGCACACTATGGAGAGTGGGCAATCCCCTTTGGTACAATATTGTATAGGGGACAAGTTGAAAAGGTGTCCACCTTTAAACAACAAGTTATTGTTGGAAGATTCACCGAAATTGCGCTAGTGTAGGAAGTAGAAATGATATGAATATGGCAGTTTTAACAGGGTAAAGAATGCTGAATTGAAGTGAAATGTGATTGTTTATGGCGCTGTTTTTAAAATCCTTCCTCTTGCTACTATGGCATCACCTTAATTGGCTTTCTTTCAGCAGACACTTTTTAATACACTAAGATGGTACTTCTTAGTCCTATTCTCCATGGTTACTACGTAATATTTGTAAGCAGCATACATAATACAGTTTCTTCTTTGAGCCAGGGAACATATCTCCTATGGGGTCCCCGCATCTAGGGGGCCACAGGATATGTGAGACTGGATGGTTCGCATATGTTGGGCATGGATCGCGGACTTTTGGAAGAACTCGAAAAGCCACATTTAAATTCAAAGGAACACTAAATTACTTCACTCCTCGCGTTCCCGCCAAAAAGTCCTTAAAGTAGGCAAACGGTAATTTCACAGATAATACACTTAAATTAAATGTATTGTCTATGTTGGCGAACGAACGAAGAAAATAGAAGCTGCCTTGTATTGATATATGCTGCCTTGTATTGATAATCTATGCTTACAGTCAGGTCAAGAACTATGGAGGGTAATGCCGGCCACTCACATGCGCGCAATTATTCGCACATTGTACGAATGTTTGCGCGCATGTGAAGGGCTGTCAAACATTCATTCGCAAACTTAGGGGCTGTACAAATGGGTTCGGTACTTAATTTGCGAACCTGTTTGCGCTTCCTCCTACACTTGTTTACGAATGTCTCACGAATTTCTCCTCTTTTTTAATTCGTCAATAAAACATTGAAGAGAAAAAGAGTTTTCAATTCTTTCCCAGACATCATTAATAGCCATGCTGTTTTTATGGGATTTCTTTTTATGAAGATACGCTACACAGTAGACGTCACGATCTATGAAAATAGCGAAACGTCCGTTGCCTTCGTAATCCTGGGCGCAACTGGTCACGCGAATGTGTGGGAGACTATGCGAAGGATCGCGGTTCTCGCGCTTTGATGTCTATTAAAAAACCGACACAGCGTGAAAAACCACGAATGCAGCGAAAACTTAGCATAATCATTTGCAAATGTCGTCCTACACTTGCGGGTTTGCGTATTCGTGCGAATGTGAGTAACCGGTGTAAAGGTACCTCTACCCTCCATAGTGATATGAAATCCGTAACTTTAGTAAAGTTAGAATTGTGATATTTATACGAAATTGAAGATAAAAAGCTTTTTATGAAAACACAAATTTTTTAACACGTAATTAAATTTAAAAGTATTTAATTAGTCAGTTGTGCTCAAGTTTAAAGGCTTATTACACTTGGCTAAATTTAGTCGACTGAATTCAGAAGCAAATTTAAAAGCTTCTGACACTGTTCCAAATTCAGTTACTGAATCAATTGTCAGTTTAACCCACTGAAGTACGAAATAGGTCTATGGTTTAACCGCGACAAAGTTGGACCTGTCGTGTGTGTACGGGGATGACACCAATATTGTCTAGACAACAAAAAATTGATCTTCGCGCAGCCGTCGCTGTCGGCTCAATTGAAAAAAAAAAGAATAATATGGGTGAAAAAATATTTATTGCTCAGCGGAAAAATAGCAAATATGAACATTATGAGTGATTTAGATCAGCAGACTTCAAGAATTATCTATAAATTGATACGAGCTCGTTTGACCTAATATTAAACCTTGTGACACCGTTTATTCAAAAGCAGGATACTATCCTACGATATTCTATTATATATCTATTATATAACTATTACATATCTAATCCTACGATAGTATAAGTCCAAAAGAAAGATTGGTTGTAACCTTAAGATTTCTAGCAACAGGAAATTCGTATCAAGATTTAAAATTTAGTTCTCCAATATCCCAACCCCTGCTGACAAAAATTATCCCTGAAACATGTCGGGCTATTTATAAATGTCTAGCACATTAAATAAAGGTGAACGAAATTAATACTTTTTATTGGGAAGTAAAAAACAAACTAAAACGTCCTTACGCACGGAGAGCTATGGGACGACTGAAACCATTAAGTAACTAAATGCGATTACACCTTCCTAAAGGTGTTTCTAATTAGGCTTCAAAATGATTTAGTCAGTCAGAAACCATCCTTGCTACTGAATTTAATAGGCTAACTTACTTAATGCTACTACACTTCACTGAATTCAGTAGCGACTGAATTCAGTCAACTAAATTTATCCAAGTGTAATAAGCCTTTTTGTAAGGCTGTATTGTTTTTTTTTAATGTATCTATAAATGTTATGTATTCGGTTACCCATAACTAATCATGAGATTATGTCGGGACCTATTTCTAAAAATTTCTATTTCAAATAGTGATCGCTTTCACCCTAAGTTGGCTCGAAGTCTCAGTTGTTACAATAATACGGCTGCCCTACCCTTCAAACCGAAACCCATTACTGATTTACGATAGAAATAGCTAAAACTGCCTTTACCCTCAAGTTTTAGGCAACATTCTTTGAGAAAAAAATAATTAAGACGGCAAAGGGGATGAAGGCCACTAAGTGGAAGTCATGAAAAGTGGTTCTAAGCCTCGTTGATTCCCATGTAAACAATATTAGCCCATTGTTAATCTCAAATTTTCAAAGCATTGAGGCTAGTAAGTATTATACAATGTTGTCTTTTTACCGACATTTCCGAATATCAAAATTAAAAATTTCACATCTTGCTGTGCTCAAAAATTTTCTGCAAATAATTTATTCTTATGTAGTTTTTTAAAAAACAACGGGTTTCAGCTTTCATGGGACCTAAAATCAGTCATGCTATCAATGGGAAAGAATGAACGAAACCGACGGACGGAACATAAAGTAAACAATTAAACAAAATGGCTGGTCGTCAATGAGTTCTTTATTTTGAAAGTAAAATATTTAATAGGAATTGTATGTACTAAGTAAGTTGAGAACAATTTTTTTTAGTAAACGATTTCTGTGAAATGGTATCATGCAATATTTTTAAAATTCTCCCCATATATTTAATTCCTACAAATATGGAAAGTTGTTTGTTTATCCATTGTAAACCAAAAAAATTGTCTGTTTACATTTTCTTGTTTGATAAAATTAATTAAACTGTAAAAATAATGAAATGGATTATAATTAAAATTTAAAAGCACATTCATTTTGCGATTTAATATCTTTTTCGTCTATCAAGCGGAAAGTTTGCCTGTTAAATAAAACGCGCGATTATTGCGTTGTTTATTTACGTAAATTGTAAATAGACACGACAACAATTTTAAATATCATTATGACAAGGAATTTCAAACATAAATTGAAATGTGTTTTATTGCTTTTAATTTACAGAGCTTAATCACAAGAAATGTCTAAAAGGGATCAAGAAAGTAGTGATAAGAAGTTGGATACGAGTGACTATGAAAACCTCATATCGCATCACAGTATATTTGAATCAAGCCGAAGTAAACAAGAACTGCCAAGTTTCCCTGGATACTCAAATGCAGAAACGCAAACAAAACCTAGTGACATAAAAGGGCAAAATGCAGTACAGTCAGGACTGGGGGTGTGGCACTACAATCCATGGTGGATGCTTGCCAGTACATCTCGAAACACACCAGATCAAGATGAATTTGCAGAGAACTCAGATCAAGCTAAAGTCAAGCAGGAACCCTCTGGAGCATGTTCCCCCGAACATGATCCTTTACAAAATGAACTAGAGCAATTTCAGGCAGGTACTTCCACACCTCCAGTAGGGATAGATACTTTTTGTGACGATTGCTCAGATCCATTTTGTGACTCTAGCGCAGCAGTTTGCCGCAAGCTATTTCATTGCCCTCATTGTAGAAAAAGTTATCCAACAATATTGGAGTTCAATACCCACTTGACAGGTGTTCATCCATCACAAAAACCATTCAGATGCCAAATATGCCTTGAGCCATTTCATAAAAAATCACATCTCAGAAGGCACCTGGATGCTCTTCATACTCGTAAGGATGTAAACAAGTGTTCAGTGTGTTCAAAGTATATTAAAGATAAGAGCAATTTACGTAAGCATATGCAGGTCCATACAGGCCGAGTACCTCAAAAACAGTTCAAATGTGACTTGTGCAATAACAAACGTTACATGTCTCTAGATAGACTCAATAACCACAAAGTGGTGTGTACTGGAGAAAAAGTATTGAAGTACTGCGACATGTGCAGTAAAGTCTTTGATAACTCCAGGTCCTTGAACAGTCACAGAAAAGTGCATGCTAGAGAATTGAAGTGTGAAAATTGTGGTGAACAATTACGTTCATTAGAACAGTTCACAACTCACAAAATGGTGTGTTTGATAACATCTGAAACCAGTGGTGCCCAAGGTAGTAGTACTACTTCATCAAACACTGCAACGACATCCTCAATGAATCGCTGTTGTCAACAACCAGGATTGTGTGAACATGACAAACCTGCTTATCTTAACATACCTGGTTATGCAGCTGGTAGGGTACTTGATGCAACTCTCTCATCTTTAAAGTCAGAACTGAATTGATAAGTTCTAAAGCTATGCAATAATATGGAAAATTAACATTTTATTCATTTTCAACAAGAGTACCAAATAGACAAATGACATTAATCAATTACACAATTGAAAATTTCACAAGACTGATGCAAATATCCCGCCTCACGACTTGCTTTATTATTACCATTTATATTTAGGCTTTAGTTAGTAGTTCATACAGCTAGTGTAAGCAATATAGCCATCTGAACATATTTTAATATGAAGGCGATAATTCATTTTATTTTAATGTGCTCAAATTGTTAAACTGATTTCGGAACCTCATTATAAAATTTTCAAAAATGTTTTTTAAATAATCAATGTGAACCTGAATTTATTAGTTTATTCTTTTATAACAGTTATGCTTTGACTGATTTAGTTATAAGCATGGTGTGCAGTATTACACACAATATTATTTTTCTATTTTTGCAAATTTTTTGAGTTATTTTTAGTTTTAGATAATATTGTTTTATATAATTGTATTTTTTTGGATTGTAAAAGAAGTATGTTACTTTTTTCATCTGAGTACTCCAAAATTAGTTGTATAGATACATTTATGATATATTAATGAAGTATTTCTATACCATATTTTCTAAAGACACCTTTACAAATTGTAAGTGCGTAATTGGGTAGAATCTTTTTTGGTGTTATTATTAAATTAGGCTAAGTGCGTGAAGTGCAATGAACCGTTGGCAAAGCCTTGTGTGTTATGGCTATGGGATGATAAACAGATATAATAGCCGCCAAACTTCTTGAGCATTTGTTGACGTAGTGGGGGTAAGTTCGCGCATGGTACACTCACGTGCAAAAACATTACATACTCTGCGTCATAATGCTATTAAATTATTAAAATCAACATATTATGTATTTATTTATATATTTATTAGAACATCAACAAAACATATAGGTTAATAATTGTAATAATTTAATCTTGGGGTAAAATAGATATTCCTTCTATTAAGTCAAAACTAGAGCTGTTGCCAGGTCTTGGTTCAGTTGAAGCGAAGCTGGTATTTGTAATTTTTTTTTTCGTTATCATAATCTTGACCATCATCATCATCACTGTTTTCATCACCCGAGTCGCTATCATCGTGATTAGTCGACATAGGCTCATCGGTGTAGTTTACAACTCAGTCGATTCGGTCTTCTTTTTTGTGTATAATTAATTATTTTTTGAAGATATTCGATTCGTAGTAATCGAATGTTACTTTTTTCAATTACCAGCTTCCGATTATTTTCTGTTCTTTTTTTCCATCTGAAGCCTAGCTCTTTCATAATACGTCGTAAGCTTCATTCCGAGCCATTAGAATTTATATCTTCTTTAAATTTTTCGAAGCCTTTCTACGGTACGGAGTTTCGCTGCTTGTTATGTAGTTATTATGATTACATCTTTTTATTACAGATTGAACGAAACTATCCATTCCGGTAACTTTCTTCTTCCTTGATATTTTCTTACCCGGAGTCCGAAACACGGCGAGCAAGCCAGAGCCTTTAGCTTCCTTAATAATAATGCACCTAACAGTACTCACTGATGGTTTTGTTACTTCCGAAGTCTGTTTTAATTTTTCCATATCATTCTTCCCCTGTTTTATAATGAAGCAATATACGTCGTACACAATTTTTCTACCCTTTCTTTTGAATAGTACACCAGTTTGTCGCGGCATAGTGTATGTTTTATAAAAAATCAACAAACAATCAACAAATAGCAATGGCAACAAAGTCCACAAGTAATTATAACAAATAGCTTAACGATTAATAACGATAGACTTTCCACTGTACGCAAGCGTACTTTTGGGAGCAAGCGGAATGAGGGCGCGGTGCGGGACGCAAGGTTCGACTGATCTACTAATAAAGCGCTCGATACGATTTCCCCTGCCGTCGCGCCTCACCCTCGCCACCAAAGTGATCTAAAATTCGGTTCTGCGCAGTCAAGGTCATTGGCTCAAGAAGTTTGCCGGTTACTATACCCAATTTGAGAATAATAAATTAAAATTATTCTGAAAAAAATCCTCTCAATAAACTGATGATCACAAGAAGGTGGTTTTGGGTTATTCTTCAGTTGGGTTTTGAATTTAACAAAGTTGTTGTGTTCTTGATGCCCTTTAAGTATATTATTAAGTGTTATAACACTGGAATTAATGCAATATTTATGATTGAGTAATAAAACCATTTATGAATGGATAGTAAAAATATAGTAACAATTATGGAGGCTATATCTAAATGAAAAAAGTAAAGTATATTATGTAAAATTAGATTTGGGCCATGTTATAATATATTATTATAAAATATTAGTTTTATGAAAAAAGAAAACTAAATTGCATATTTAAAAATTCGTTTTTATAAGATTTTTGTTTTATAAATGGTCCATTCCTATGTTCATTTATACAATATTGTTTAATATAAATGTTTTCATTTATTTACACAGGACTATATTTGAGGCTTAAAAAGTTCATTGTTGCTATTTAATGTTTTATCGTTTACATTTCATAGGCTTAAGAATTATTATTATAAAAAAACTTGAAATTAAGCTTATTATCTTATATAGTTATTTAGTTTTTCTATATAATTATATTTTTGCATAAATAAGTAATTCATTTTGGATTACATATTTACATATTGTAATAGTTTTACAATCCGTTAAATAGATGTCTGAATTACATACAACAGAAATTCTATCCACCGAGACTGCCCACCAACTCTGTACAGTTAATGACAAAACCTATTTTCATTACAGTACTTCTTCAAACGAAACAAATAAATTTATCTTTATAGGTGAATACTATTTGGTTAGCTAAGAATAAAATTATGTGCAAGATTTGTTAATTTTTTACGCTTTTGTCTAAATGCTATTTAGTTAAACATACACTATGTTGTAGACCTCCAAATTTGTTGTAGCATCTGCAAAACTCATGTGTGAGACATGTTCATCTAGTTGTAAGTACAAAGAATAGGGATACAGTAGAGGTATTTATTGCATAAATTATCAAAATGTGTTCATATTTTGTACTAAAAAAGTGAATAATGATCGAACTGAGAGTTTATTTTTATTTACCTATATTATAAATAATTGTTAACTTTTTGTTTTTGATATGAGCTGTTACTTTAAGCTATCATAAGAGAAAATACTATAATTATTTTTCCGAATTTGTTAAACATCATAACCAGAGAAGAGTATTTGAAGTATAACTAGATTTCGTGTTCATTCAAGATATTTGGAACTTGAACTTACTTGAACATTAAACTTTTATAAGGCTATTAATAAGTATGATTTCCAAGTAAATTAAAAAAAGTAACCAATTGTTCGAATGTTATTTTCATTTCATAAAAGATAAATGCATTATAAATAGGTACAATAAATGTTAAAGTTGACGATTATTTAAATACAAAAAGTAATATTTACATATGTGTTGTCTTTATAATATTTTCTGAAATATACGAATATTATTAGGGTTCAAATTTTCGGTACCGAACTCTAATTACTTTTTTGGTCCATTAGCTTATTTATTTACCCCACGCTTGGACTCGAAATCGAACCCTATCTGAACTATTTCTCCTCGCTTAAAACCCTATTTCTAGAATGTAAACACAAAAGAAAACAACTTTTTCATAACCTACTAATTATATAATTATTTAGGGAGTCACGGACCTACTGTTTAAATAAAGGCTACGGGAGTGTGTACAAATATTTCGCGTAATAAACGGAACAGTAGCGGGAAAACGTAGATTCTTTTACTTATTGTATATAGTGGTGAACAAGCTCGCGGTCTATCTGTTCCTAAGTGGTTACCGGTGCCCATAAAACTAAATATCACAACGTAAATGTCACGTCACTCACGTTGAGACGTTTAGAAGTCGTCGTGGCCTAAAGGTTATGACGTCCGGTGCATTCGTTATGAGCGACGCACCGGTGTTCGAATCTCAGGCGGGTACCAATTTTTCTAATGAAATACGTACTCAAAAAACTATCACGATTGACTTCCACGGTGAAGGAATAGCATCGTGTAATAAAAATTAAATCTGCAAAATCATAATTTATGTTATTACTGGTGGTAGGACCTCTTGTGTGTCCGCGCGGGTAGGTACCACCAATAAGTTTAATAATAAATAAGTGTAAATATAAACTATAATAATAATAATAATAATAAATAAATATTTACTAACAATCACGCCACGTTAACTGGTCCCGTGATAAGTTCGTAAAGAACTTGTGTTACAGGTACCAGATAATGGATATAAATGTAAGATTTTTATTATACACACATATATTTAATATACATCCATAACCCTGGAAAAGACATTTATATTTATCATACAAATATCTTCCCTTGGCGGGATTCGAACCCGCGACCCCCTTGTATAGTGACCATGTCACTTACCACTACACCAGACGGCCGACTATATTGTGTATTTGTACGGTACGTGTTTAGATAGGCCCTGACAGTTACAAAATGAATGAATGAACTGACCATTGTAAATATTCCAATACAAAGAGTGATCAATGTATACTGAGCTAAATGATCTAGCTAGACGAAGAAATGAATTAATTCAGAGACTAATCAATTAAATTGGATCACTGAGCTACTGATCTAAATGAATAATATATATCTTTGGAGCCAAAAAAAGTCGAAAGAAAGTCAAGATATATATCTATGATTTCAAGTTGATTGAAATCATAGATATTATACTAAATGTATAAATAAGCTTGAAACGTATTTTTTGGCGGGAACGCGAGGATTGAAGTTGTGTTATTTGTTTTATTTTGTCTATTTTGTGTTTCTTCAGGTTTAACGTAATAAGTGGAAAAAATCTTAGTAAATGACCACCATTTTACTGAGATTATATTTCATCCCATATCATCTCAATTCATTTCATTTAATTTCATACCAGTTGATTAGTGTCTCAAATTAATCATCTTCATTTCATTTCACTCCATAATATAATTTTTCATAAAAATATGAATAATATAAATTAAAATAAGACATGACTTAAAGGTCTCAGTTACCAGGTCATAAAATCTCTTTAAAAAAATCCGTATGTACTGGGCCATCATTCATCAACAATTTTCATAAAATTTAACATTTATTGCATTTGTTGAATTTTGCATAAATTGTAAATCTGATAAATAGTTAATTATTTACGAAAATTGTCATTTTTGTTAACCGACTTTCAGATGATTGTTCAGAAGAAACCTAGGAAAAATAAACAAGTAAAAAATGAGTTGCAGAGAGAGTTCAACTTTATAAAAGGCATATTTTCAGTTATGCCTGTTTCAATTTTAACAAAAGGTGAGTAATAACATTGATTATCAGCTGTGTTTAACTAGTCTTGCAGTATACCTTGAGGTATGGTAATAGTTGTATGATTGTAGAAAATTTTAAGGTTAGATTAAAGGTATTTAAAATTATAATGCGTCAATAGATAAACTTGTTGAAATATTTTTTTTTATAAGAATGATGCATTTTTAGGTGCCGATGAAGACGCAGACTATGAAATCTATACAGGCAGTAAAAATGAAAATGAGGAAAAGGATTTACCAAAACGGGCCCGGAGCATTGCTGAGTTGGAAGAGAAATTGGAAAAATTGAAATCACAACAAAAACATAATTTGAAAACAAAACTCGTAAAAAAGAGTTTAAATAGTAAATTAAATAAAAAAATTAAAAAGAAAGAAAGATTGAATAAAACAAAAAAACTAAACATAGATAAATCATTGTTGGAGGATGAGAATAATCAAATTGAACAGAAACATAAAATTTCCGCACCTAAACCAGTTTTCAATACAGATGCGAAATTAGTATTTTCAAAGTTTAATTTTGATAATTTTGGCAATAAAGGTAATTAATGCTCACAACTACCACGCAGTGTCAGAAATATCTTTTTATCACAAATGAATTCATGTACAGGCAGTTCATGTTTGTTAGACTATAATCTATGGATAGTATAATGTATGTACTGTCAAACACTAGAAATACATATACCATACTTTCTGCCATCAGTGCTCAAGATAGCTATTAGAGGCAAGAGTGAAAGAAGTTTTGTAGGTAAATGAGATGAGTGTTATGATGGTCGAATGATGGAAGGCATAAGTAGTTGCATGAGCTAGGGTGTAACATTAGTAATTGAATTGGTAAGAAAAAAATGTAATGGCTAAAGACCAGCAATATTTGCAGGTCTACATTATGCCTGCATAATGTTATATAGCTTTTTTTACATTTCCTTGAAACCGGAAAAGATAATAACTACTTACTGATGGACTTGGAAATGAAATCTTTCTGCTCTAGCAATTAAACAAATCAAATTGTTAAATATTGGTGATTGGCCCATTGAACATTGTTTTTAAACTAATTGTTGCAAACATTTACAGAAAAGGGATCTAAAACTGAAAAAAATCCTAAAAAAATTCTAGAAAATTTAAAACACCAAGATGAGAAGTTTAGAGAAATGGAGGAAAAGGAAGACAAAACTAAAGTTAAGGAGATGAAGGAAAAGTTGGCATGGAAAACAATTTTACAGAAAGCTGAGGGACAAAAAGTTAAAGATGATCCAATGTTATTGAAGAAATCTATAAAAAAAATGGTAAGTCCATAATTGGTTTCATTGTTGTATTGTACCTTTTAGTAATTTTTTAAAGATTAATATTTTATATTCCACACTATAATTAATTACAATCAAGTTTTTAAATTAACCTTATGCTTACATACACTAAGAGGTAATCACAGAACTTAATGTTGAGACTCCTATGCATAGTTATACTTAACAGTTTCTATTTATTTATGGTTAAAGTCAGGAGTATCTGTCTGCTAACTTCAGATGCTTACTGTCATTTTTAAACAAAAATCAAAAGTGGTACTGTATTAAAGTAGTTTCATTGAATGTCTAGCTTAATTTCTATTAAAATTTTTCATTGTTATTATGCAAATATAACTACATTATAATTGTAGCACTGTTTAAGCAGATTTTACAATTTGTAAATTATGTTTGTTGACATTTATTTTTTTTGACAAAATATTCTTCTCTGTTGGTCCTTCATTACTGAGGTATGCGACCACACCTATAATTACTCGAAACTCTTTGCATGAAGATCGGTCCTCTATGAAGTGGACCGCCTGTTGGATGCTGACTCCTAACTATCATCTTTATAGTATTCAACATCTTGTTGGTGCCTTGCTTTTGGCTTTTTTCCCTCGTCTTGACCAAGAATGAGAAGCTTTTCCAAAAATCTAGGCAATGATAAATTGGGAGATATCTGCCGAAATGCTACTTTTTTAATCAACCAGCACTAAACCATTATTTTACAAATTTCTAGATCTTATAGCTATGCAGTTTGTTTGATTTTGTGTGGATAATCTACATTAAACTTGTAATGAAAATTATTATGTTTCATCTAATTGTATATTGATGTATGTTAATACATATATTGATCCTTTCTCATTTATAATTTGATAAGATAATCCTCAATTGACAATAGTCAGAGTCAGAATCATAGACAATAATATAACATTTATATTATTTTCAAGATTGTTTTTAAAATTATTGTTTTAAAATTAATATTAGGTTTCTATTGCACTGTGAACCAAGGACATAGTCAGGACGGCAGGGCAGATGTGGATGAGAATGGCATCAACCATTGGTGGTAGGACCAGTTAATCACTTTTTACTGGTAGTGGACCAGTTAACCACTTTTTACTGGTGGTTGGACCTCTTGTGAGTCCGCACGGGCAGGTAACACCACCGCGCCTATTTCTGCGGTGAAGCAGTAATGTGTTTCGGTTTGAAGGGTGGGGCAGCCGTTGTAACTATACTGAGACCTTAGAACTCATATCTCAAGGTGAGTGGCGGTATTTACGTCGTAGATGTCTATGGGCTCCAGTAACCACTTAGCACCAGGTGGGCCGTGAGCCCGTCCACCTATCTAAGCAATAAAAAAAATATATGTACATATATGTTTTAAATAAATGTTTTTGGTTACAGGAGCAAAAGAAAAAGCAAAGTAAAAAGCAATGGGAAAACAGGATTAGTTCAGTAGAGCAAAAGAAGAATGAAAGACAGAAGAAAAGAAAAGAAAATATTAGTAAGAAGAAAAAAGAAAAGAAGACTAAAATTATCAAAGCAGCATCTAAACGGGGTCGTGTTGTAATCTAAGTTTTTCCCTCAATAAAAAGTTATTAAACACTTTATAATTATTTGACGGTTTCTTGTTTGACATAGTCAGTCATAATCTAGTACATTTTCCATTATTTTTGCTCCTCTGACTTAATCAGTTGCTACAGACACACACATATCCACCAGGCTACCCTGAGTATGCTGAATGCTCGTGCATCTAGGAGGGGGATAAGTGAATACAATCATGAAATTGACTTCAGGTATGGTACATACGGACCGACTTGTTCGAGACCCAGATTATGGTGAAGATTCACATTTCTCACGTACCACGGTGCTCCGACGACTAACATATTCAAACGGAACAAGTCTTACGCGAGTGTGGCCGCGTTAGTGATCACCACATTAGTATATTATGTCATTATGAGGCTCTTTTTTTTTGGTCAGGAGGAAATCGCCGGACTTCCGCCCTCCACTGGGGATGGAGGGCGGAGCATGTCAGAGTCGAACTGACTAAAATCTGTCGCTCAACAACCAACGTCCAAACCTCGCATGAGACAGAACTCATAAAGAGGCAAAGGGAGGAAAGTGAAGCGTTTAGTGCGGAGCACATCTCTCCCATCACCCTCCCCCTCGAGAAGCCGGACCGGCGCACAGTGGGTCGATACTGTGATTTTAGTGACTTAGGGACCAACTTTGTTTTTTTATAATTTTTTTTATGTAGATAGATAGAGCTCGTTAATCTCAATAATAATTGTTTTGGGCAAAAATTACAAAAACTTTATAGTTTGGTCAGAAAAATGTGTTTTGTGATTTTTTTGTATGGAGCGGGTCACATTAAATTAAATNGAAATTTAATTTAATGTGACCCGCTCCATACAAAAAAATCACAAAACACATTTTTCTGACCAAACTATAAAGTTTTTGTAATTTTTGCCCAAAACAATTATTATTGAGATTAACGAGCTCTATCTATCTACATAAAAAAATTTATAAAAAAACAAAGTTGGTCCCTAAGTCACTAAAATCATAGAATCGACCCACTGTGCGGCGGTCGTCGGCGCCACGACCACCGGCCCTCTCGGTCGGCAGGCTATCGGAAGCCCGCCTAGATGGCGCCGGTTAGAGTGAGCTATCCTACGGAATACCCCGCTGGACCAGAACCAGCGTGGGTCGAGGATAGCCGGCCTTCCATCACCCGGATGCTCTTGCGTAAAACGCGTGCAGAGCAGCTTGCACGTCGTCTTCTTAGGCCCCCCTCGCCGGTCCCCAGACGGACATGTGAAGGGGACCCGAAACACTTAGAGGACCAGGGCTTGGGCGGAATCCGCCTCCCTGGCCCCCGCTCGACGGCGGCGGGATTGTGCGTCTCTCACTGGCCCCGCCGCCTCCTTCTGCGAGATGGTGCACTCGCAGAAGTCGAGCATCGCCTTCCACGACTCGTCGTCGCCGAGCATCGATGCCACAACACTCGCCAACGACAAGTCGTTTCCTATTTTTGCGACGAGGACACGGCGCCACCCCTCCCATGCGGGGCAGGCAACGAGCGTGTGCTCCGCCGTGTCCAAGTCGCAACCACAATGGTGGCATTCTGCCGTCGGCTCGGCTCCGATCCGGTGCAGGAACTCACCGAAGCAACCATGCCCAATGAGCACCTGCGTGAGCCGGAAAGTGAGGCGTCCTCTGTCACGATTCACCCAATCCACAAGGACCGGGCGAATCGCCTCGACGGCCCTACGACCAGCCGAAGGATCAGCCAGCCGTCTGGACCATGACTCCAGCAATGTCATTATGAGGCTAATATAAATCGTGAATTATGCTGCCTTATTACGTAAGCGTATTTTACTCCGCTTGCAGATCACAGGGTAGTCTGTCTAGGAAAGCGCAGTGCGCTCATGGACAGTCTACGTGACGGTAGAAGTTCCTGGATGCATTCGGGATGACTCCCAGATACTTGACCTTACCCAGAGTATTGTTTAGTTGAAGGCGCTGATACAGCCCAACGGTGCTTTTTGTAGGATTTACTTAGATGTGGTATTCCAGAAACCTAGATAGGACCTAGTAACCTAATAAATTCGGACCATTTTACTGAGAACTTATTTTATTTAATCCAACACATGATTTTTCATAACTTATCTCATTAAATTCTATTTCATTTCGTTTGTTCCTGTTAAATTTTCATACTGTAAAATTGGTTTCGGTTTTTAATATTTATGAAAGCTATTAGGGACTAAGATCCTATCCCAAATGGACGAAAAAAACATCTAAGGATGTTGTAGGTACTTATTAACTCCATGGGATAGAGATATTAACAAAAGGATTTTTTGGCAGGAGTGGAATGGAGTGAATTGTTTTATTTAATCGTTTAGTGTTTCTTCAGGTTTATATGTGTAATAACGGTGGTTTATTAACTGTTTAGTATCTGTGAAAGTGCGCAAATGTGTGACAATCCAAATCTGAACGTAACTTCTCGGGATCCTCCAAAAAGTCCACTGAAAAAGTCTCAGTAAATGACCATCACTTTTCCTGAGATTATATTTCATACCATATCATTTCATTTCATTTCACTTCAGATTATCATTTTTCATCAAAATAAGAATAAAAATTAAAATAAGACTTGACCCAAAGGTCTTAGTTACCAGGTCATAAAATCCCTTTAAAAAATGAACTATTATAAATAATCTTTATTTTATTTATTGAATTATTGTTAAAGGACGTTTTATGCTAATATATATAAGACTGTTTGAACTTTAAAATAAGTAGTTTATAATTAAATATTCTACAGCTTAAAATGAGCTGGTTAACTTCGAGGATTCTAAGCGTTGTTTGGAAACCCACAGTAAACGTTGTAAGGTTAGGAGTGCAATGAGAACAATATTAATCTAATGTAATGCTTTACAAAATTTATTACAAAATACTTTGTTTTTCTTGAAGGACAAGATATCACGCCGATAAAAAACGATTAGTCAGGAGATATGGCTACCAAGAGAAAATCTGGCGTGGTGGACTCTTGCCTAGATCTGAAGGAAAGGCACTACCAATACCTGAATACAGGTTAGAAGAATATCGAAATTTAGTTAATTATTGAATTCATTTCTTTAACAACACAGTTTTTTTAATCTTAAGAAAATTTAAACTGAATAAACAAAATTCCTCTTGCAGACCTGATAATCCTTGGTCAGTAAGAAAAGCTCTTTTTGGACAAAATGACTATATAGACATTTTAGGACCTGGTAATCTACATCCAGTTAAAACATTATATAATATACCGTCATGGATTCGGGGTGTGAGTGGACATGAATATCATGTGAGTATTATAAAGTTAGGAAGTTTTAGTTGGTACATGAAATGATGGCTAAACGTTCCTTTATGGTCCGTCGCTTTGGAAGCTCACAATTTCTTTGTAGATAGTACTCATAAATAGAAAGCTTTTTGCAAAATTTCAAGTTGCAGAAACTCACGATTTACGAGCCGAAATGATTACAAAATGTTCATGTTTGGGTGCATTAGGTACTTTTTTTAAAAGTTTCTGATATTTTTACATTTTGCTTAACTGGTAAGAATTGGTTGTCAAAATGTTATTTACTGAGCTCCCTTCATTGGCATAAACATGAAACTGTGGGAAATAACTATAAAATTGCATCTTCCAACAAATACATGTTTTTGTTCAGTAGACTGAATGTTGTGAAAATTTTCTACTTATCCAAAAGGTGATCCTAGTCATTGAGTTGCGGCTACAACTACTATAATCCCAACTAAACTTCACAGAATTTTATAAATATTCTCTTAATTTGTAAGTAAGATTTAATGTATTAAATCACTGTCATCTATGTGAAATTGGGGATTTTATTTGAATGAAAATTACCATGTTTTTTGTCAATTAATGGAATTGGTTTATTAAGTAGTGGGTAAACTACAAAAAAATAAACATATATTAGGATAGTAATTTAATGCAATTTTATCATTTGGTTAGATCCTACTAAGAAAAAAGAAAATGTGGGCAAAAACTGGTACACCTAGATTGAGACCTACAAAATGGAAGGAAATACAAAAGCGCTTGTCGTTCCTGTATAGAAAACTAAATAGAAAAACGAAGACAGGACCTTCACCAATTTAATTACTTTATATCATTAAGAACAGTAGAGTTTTATGTAGATAAATAGGATACAAAATATAAAGAACAAATAAAACCATTTTTGTCATAGTATTGTTTTATTATACACATTAATTTAAACAAGATGACTAGGTAGAATTTTTACTATAAATTTTATTTATAAAATGTTATTAATGTATCTAAAATCTAAAGATGGTGTATTATAACAATTATATTTAAAAAAAAATAAGTAATATTTTATTAATTTAAATAACCCCAGTCCTCCTTGATCATGTCTGCAGCTTTCTCTGCTATCATTACGACTGGAGCGTGAGTGTGAGATGCGGGAATTCGTGGCATTATTGAGGCATCTGCTATTCTTAATCCTTTAACACCGTGTACTAATAATCTAGGAGAAACTACTCCAGTTGGATCTCCTGTTGGTGCCATTTTACAAGTGCCGACCTAAAAGTAAAAAAATTTAGACGAACGTATAATGGCATTTCTAATGTACAATAATACAGTATTTTATTTAGACCCATAGATAATAAACTTTTTAAACCGCAGTGCATGACTGCTTTAGAGCGGAAATAAGTACCTGTGCGGGCTTAGAAATCTTATAATACGCACTGCTACGGATTAGATTGGGTACCGGTTGGCGATCGCAGTACTCTGGTATAGTAGTCTGCTACTAATGCTGCTGCTCATTCTTCAGTAAATCCCCGACATACGGCAAAACATACGACGGTGCTATTCCAGACTGAACCCACACAGCTAAACCTGTACCTACCTGGTGATCCAGTGTAATAGAAGTCTGCATTATGGCGCATTCCCAGTACTCATCTGAGTCAAAGATTAGATGTTCGCAACCAGGAAATGGTATATCATGTAGTTTTGTATTGTACTGTTGAAATGCTTTTGTTCCTATTATATTTTCAATCTGCGAAATCATAATTATATGTCTAAAAATTTAATTGGAACTATAAATATTTTTTTGCGGCTTCATGTCAATTATGTAGCTTTCAAATCTGTATACGGCAACAATAATTCAATTAAACTTTAAAAAAAAACAATTACCATTCGGACTCCTTGTACCATAGCCTTGAGGTCATTCAAATCACTGAAGTAGTTCGGTTGAATTCTCGGATGGTCGAAAAAATTTGAACTTCTTAACATAAGTCGTCCAACGCTCCTTGGGCGAATCAGTACAGGGTTGAGAGAGAAAGTACGCCATCTCACTTTCGGGGGAAGTGTACCGTAGACTTTCCAGAACCATTTATCTGTAACTCCTACAATCATACTTAAACATCAATATCTTTTTAATTCTTAATTAATATAAAGCACTCGAAATATGTATATAGGATGTTTGTAATATAGTTTCAAGATATGAAAGATATCAAATGAAGACAAAAAAGTTGCTATTATGGTAATCGTTAAGCACCGTGGAACTCCCACTGAGTTTCTCGCCGGATCTTCTCAGTGGGTTGCGTTTCCGATCCGGTGGTAGATTCTGCGAAGAACTGCTCTTGCTAGGGCCAGTATTAGCAACACTCCCGGTCTGAGCCCGTGAGCTCACCTACACGTCAAGGAGAAGCTGAAATAGCCTCTCAAGGCTTGAAATAGCCTCTCAAAGCTATCAGCATAGGTAGGAAAAAAACTGTGGAACCAATGAGATAGATATAAAATATATTTTCACGTTAAATTATTTATCAATACGTACCGAGTAAAGAACGCAAAATTCCTATAAAATCTCCGGCCAGAGACCCTGCTCCCATGACTAGTTCCATGTCTGGCCGGCTTGCTACTGAATCGTTTGATACATTAGTACGTATGAATGCTAGGCCGGCAGCTCCGCCTGGAAGCGTTAAAGGGCCCTTGCCCGTCATATATGATGCCGCTGAGAAAGGTGATGCAGCCGTTAACTGAATAATAGCAAAAGAAATCGTTCAATCCTTAGCACCTTCTGTTATCTATTCCAATTTAATTAGTAGTAGAGAGTAAAAAGTAAAAAGCAACGGAGCTTGCGGGCGCAGCCGCATTTTATGACTACGAACAATTGTTTACATAACAAACTGTGTCCACATGGTTCAGTAGTTATAAAGGAATATCCGTAAAAACCACTGTATATTAGTATATATACAGTGGTTTTTATTTATTGTTCACGAATGTTCTCGATTAGAGACCTGTGAGTTGCACTCAGAACCAGTAACTTGAGATAGAAAAGCTTGTTCTTTTGATAAGAAAATAATAATCTTTCATCGGTAAATGCACAAGGAAATCTTTATTAATTTTATGTTTACAACCACTACATACTTCATTTTATTTATATTAGTTTTTTTAAAGATTCCATTGCATAGGGGATCCCTACCTGAGACGAACTGCGTCTATAGAAATTTGTATTTAATCTTTTTTTTTTATTGCCCTTGTAGGCAGACGGTCATACGGCCCATCTGATGGTGAGTGGTTACCGTCGCCCATGGACTTCAGCAATGCCAGGGGCAGAGCCAGGCCGCTGCCTCCCGCTTAATACTCTCCACAAGCTTCGTTTGAAGAAGGACATGTCATAGCGCTCGGGAAACACCGTGGAGGGGAGCTCATTCCATAGCCGGATGGTACGTGGCAAAAAAGACCTCTGGAAACGCACTGTCGATGAACGCAGCGGTTCCAGATAATATGGATGAACTCTGCTCCGATGGCGGGAGGTGCGATGATAAAAAGGCGATAAGGGGATCATCTCAAACAATTCCTCAGAGCATTCCCCATGGAACATACGGTAGAAAATACAGAGGGAACCGAAGTCCCTCCGCAGACCCAGAGGTTCCAAACGATCCGTGAGAATGGGAGTATCGACAATCCGAACGGCCCTCTTCTGTATTCTGTATCTAGACGCTTTTTACCTAGTTCGGCATAAGGAATATGGAAGTCATTAAATCCTAAGACACCTAATATCTTCGTGCTAGGGCATAATGTATGTTTGTAAACAATTAACACCGGGATGGGCCGTTAGCTTGTGTACCTAATTAATACTTTGTACCTGAATAATAATTAATACGATATGTTGTATTTTATAACTTACATCGTTAACACAAAGCCTAGAGTCATTGACTATGAATGCGTTTCCGGAGAAAGTAACATGATCTTGTAGATTGTATCCGACAGGGAGGTCAACCAGAGTACGTATGCCCATCTTCTCTAAGTGTTCAGTTGGTCCCACACCTGAGAGCATCAACAGCTGAGCTGAACCAATGGTGCCAGCCGATAAAATTACTTCTCTGCGTGCTAGAACCCTGTATCTAAAACATGCACAGTTGAATAAGTTTTTAAAAATATAAGGGAACCTTTTATTTACATAGTTTAATTTTATTTAACAACTAAATCAGAGTGGTTAAAAATAAAAAATCTCTGAATCTGAATTCGAAGAAAAAATTGATTTTGAGATGAAACAAATTTACGGAGTGCACAAAAATAAAACGAATGTATTTATCGGTATCCGTTCGGTATCCCACAGACACTCTCTTTAAAGAATTTGGGGTCCTGAGCGTGAGAAGAATATTTATCCTTAGGGCAGCCCTTGATTACCACAGAGAAGTTCCTAAAATTACCAACATCAAAGTTCTTGCTACAAAACGCACTCCTATAATCCCGACGCCCTCAGTTAGGACGGCTTTTGCTCGTCGTTTTAGCTCCTACATGAAACCTTACTTATATAACAGACTCAATAAAAAATACAAAATTCTTAACCTAAATTACGAAGAAGTTAAAAGAAAGTTAATAAAAGAACTGCTTAATTGGTCCTACTCTTTTTCGGAGGACTTTCTGAAATGCATTAAGTAACCCTAAACACGTACTTATGGTAAAAATCATTACACCTGTTCCTTTTCTTTTTATATATATGTGTATGTGTATGTATATATATGTATATGTGTGTGTGTATATATGTATAATATTTCCCTTAACTATTTTGATTTACTTGTATATTCAGCACCGTTATTACTAGTTTTAAGATACTCCTGTAAAAAAACTCTCCACGAGACAGGCAGTGCCTAGTGTGGAGAGTTTTTAGCAAACTGTTGTGTAAATGTATCAAGGTTAATAAATAAATTATTATTATTATTATTAACAAAATGACGAAAATGGCCTTACTACTATATACTATATAGGTCTATGTTCTATATTGATCTTTTCGTCTGATGACACGTGATATTCGCTAAATCGAGACATACATACAAACAAATGCTTCGTGCACGACGTTAAACTCCATTGATATTCAAAACCATCTTAAGTCTCATTCAAGTCGATGTAACGCTCTTAGCTCTAATCTCTTAACTAAGTAAAAGTACAGGAAACGTTCACAAGAATAATAAAACTCTCGTATATTATCGTATAGCCCTTCAAAGTGACATGTAACTTTATGGGTCTTGTTCGCATTTTATTTTCCTGGTATAAAGTGCCGCTGTGACAGCAAAGGGTGTTATTGATACACATTAGCTAAATTAAATATAGACACGGATAGATCCGTCGAACCCTAATAAAAAGTGGTTGATAGTTGTTAGCTTATGACATATAGCAGTGTCTCTAAATGTATTCTAGAAATAAATAAATAAATAAATATTTACTAACAATCACGCCACGTTAACTGGTCCCGTGATAAGTTCGTAAAGAACTTGTGTTACAGGTACCAGATAACGGAAATAAATGTAAGATTTTTATTATACACTTACATATATTTAATATACATCCCTAACCCTGGAAAAGACATTTATATTTATCATACAAATATCTTCCCTTGGCGGGATTCGAACCCGCGACCCCCTTATGTAGTGACCATGTCACTTACCACTACACCAGACGGCCGTTAAAATAATAGAATTAATTTTTAGTATCCGAAAATCTGTTGAAAATTTTACTTCGTTTTGTTGTTTTTGTATGTAGCCTAACAGCTCGAGGCCAGCTATTTTGAGAGTGCATCTACTACTGAATTAAAATCGCGAACCATGAAAAGAGCCGATTAGAAAATTAGCGGTCTGATACTATGAGCTAAGATATTTACGTTGAACTTTTAGACGAGTTCGAGGAGTATGGTGACCTGTGTTTTGGTTGTTATTATTAGCAGCACTAGCAGAAAGTGTGGATCAGAAGGATCTGTAAAGTCGTGCCTAAGACGTCGACGTTGGTTGACTGGCGTGCTCGGATCGGGGGTGTGGTTAGCGGCGGCTATGATAAGTGGCTTATTGTGTCGCGCTGCCTATTTGAAGTAGCACCCTCCAATCGGGCACTCTTAAGTCTCATAAAAATTTATAACCACATCAGCGAATTTAGCCCACCGGTGTTTTGAAGATGCTGGTTCATATAGTTGCTTCTCGTCATCAGTCGGGGGCGTTTTATTGAATTCTTATTATAACTTTTACGGCCCCACTTACTTATAGTGTTGAATTTAGATATTCGTTAAAAATAATTTTAGTGGCATCTTAAAGATTTAGTTTAGAAATAATTAATTATCTAGTACACTTGTATGTTACAATGCTGTAGTATGTTTGTTTGTATTCGCATAAACATAATGAAATTTTGTTAGTTAAGCCTTCGTCCAATTTATCATTATTATTTCATCGACAAGTTTAAAAAAAAACGGTATTTCTAATGATAATACAAACATTTTAGTAAGATGTAAAGTTTTCAGATTCGTTTTAAAATTATCATGAATTCACAGATAGCGAGTACCTTCACAGGCAGACTAAGGTGTGACCTACCTTAGGGTAGGCAATGTTAAACAACCATGAACGCTTTAAATGGATTCGCTCACCTTAAGATGAGAGGTCAAAGTCGCAGTTGAAATGACGATTATCCCATGAATTATACTTTATACATAACTAGCTGACCCGGCAGACTTCGTAGTGCCTCAATCGATAAACAAAAGACCTAAACTTTTGTATAAAATAAACTTAAAACAAACAAAAGTAATCCGTCCGACGGGGGACACATCAAAGGGAAAACAAAATTGTTATTTTTACCTTTTAAACCTTCTCTGGACTTCCACAAATAATTCAAGACCAAAATTAGCCAAATCGGTCCAGCCGTTCTCGAGTTTTAGCGAGACTAACGAACAGCAATTCATTTTTATATATAGATTGTTTACGGCACCACGAAATGGTAAAAATGCATAGGTATTTTCAGGGTACCTTTCTGTGCCATCTCACAACATCAGTAGTTATTCTGGTTGCATTCATTATACGATATAAATCTTATTTCATTTATGGTGAATAAATTTTGAACTGACCTTTTATTTCGTTTGATGAATTCTACACCATAAATTGTTTTGGTTTGAGGTTTTATTAATATTTTTGTGACGATGGTGTGTTTGGTAACTTTCAAATTTCTTCTAAAACGGACAGGCTCTAGAAATGCTTTCGACGAACTGCATCTTCTACCGTTTCTCATTGTAGCTTGAGGTTTTGAGAAACCCATCATATGTTCCCCGTTAGGGTCCCGCCTTTCGTAACCGAGCTCTTCGCCGGCTTTTCTAAATACTTTTTCCAAGGGAGACTTATAAGGAGCATGGTCTATGTCTAAATATCCATTTCTTCCATGGTATGAGGAGTTTTTCAATTCATCTATTTTGATGTTTTCCGACTTTTTAAAGTATTGTAATATATCGTCATAGCTCCAACCTGGATTACCCATTCTCGCCCAGTCATTATAATCTTCAGGGTGTCCCCTTTGGTATATTAAAAAGTTAAGTACGCTACTACCGCCAAGTACTTTTCCTCGGGGAAGAAAACAGACTTTCCCTCTTAAATCCTTACACGCTCGTGGTTCCGGCTCTGAGGTATAGCCCCAGTTCATAGGTGTCATTGACAAAAACGAAGCGAATATTGGAACATCCGAGAAAAAGTTTTCATTGCCTCCTGCTTCGATAAGTAGAACTTTCCATTGCGGCACTTCAGTTAGTCGGTTTGCGATAACGCATCCCGCAGATCCAGCTCCTACAACGATGAAGTCAAACTCTTCTCGGTGTTTAGGTGTATAGTCCTGAACGAAACCCTCCTTAGGGTTCAATGGCCAAGGCCGGAATAAGTCGGTCCAGTAATCAAAAAAGAAGTTGGCGTCTAAACCTCTTACAGCCGTGACGTATAGGAGAAGGAAGACACATCGCATGTTTTTTCGCTTTCATTCCTAAAATTCATAAACAATATATGATTAAACCAGATCAAACGGGTGAAATACACACAAATTGATACTAAGATAAAATAGTTACTACTTGTAAATAATAATACTAGAATCATAGAATAATACTTGGAAATAATAAAGTATAATAATGAATTAAAATATATAATCATTTTGATTTAAATTTTAAATTAATTATTGTAAATGAAGGTCATAAATTATAAAGAGCAGCAGATATTTAATTGTTCTTTCGTTAATAAAAATACTGTAAATACTAATTATTACACTATATATTTCTGATTAAGCCTTTTACTATAAAATGGTGAAAAAACAAACATAACAACTGCGAATTTCAATCAGATACATATTTCACTAGAAAAATCGGCACCTGCTTGTGGGGTTTGGTCTCTAGCATACCCGGATCGCTTCGTACGAGTACCTACACTAGGTGTCTTACCCTTAAGGCCATGGGTGCTTCAAACCCAACTTTGTTGCAGTTGTAAAAACATACTTTTGTACTTAAATAAATAACATTTTCTAGGCAATGGTAGGTACTTTATTCCAAGGACTTCTCTTATCGGAAATCTTAAACTTATAAAGAACACAACATGAATAACAAATGACTGTTTCAGAAAAAATGGTATTCTGATCAGACGTGTCGTGGCTAAGACCATGTAATGAAGAATATGTGTTCATTCTAATATTTATGCCAATGTAATAGAGAATTTTTTTAAGCGTCTTTTACGTAATTATTGTTACAGAAAAAATTGTGTTTGAGATTACGATATGGCATTTAAATATGAGAGCTGTAAATAGGTGTTCATAAGTAATTATGAAATTTATTTCAGTCGAATAAACACAAATTTATAGCAAGTCCGTTGACCGTCACCTTAATAAGCAAAGGATGCGATCATCAATCACAATGTGGAACATCCGGCACTGAGAGTAGGTTCCACACAGTTTCGATTTTTGTCACACAATGCTCGGAAAATCTCGCATTTATTTATTACATACGTAATGCTATTGTGTTCGTGTTGTCCATAATGATTTAACTGGTCAATACGTTTATGTATTTTCCCGTATATATTATTTTTAATATATGTTAATTGTATCAAAACCAAGGACAAATCGAATTGGTTTTTGGAAATTTTCTCTATAGAGTTTGACGGAAGTCGTTAGTACCAGGAGACCTTACATGGGGGCAATTCAAGACCGAATTGCGTTGTAAAGAGTTTTCGCAACACTTTGAAAGCCAATTAAGCGGAAAAGTGGTCCTAAAACAAAACATTGCCCGAAAAGTTATCCTCAAAAATCGAAATAATCTTGGACCTGCAGCCGCAAGGAATTTTCTGAAATTTGCTCTATGGGGAACGGCTCGCAGCAAACCCGCAAACCAGTGCTTTCCAAGGGCTTATATCAACTCAATTCGCCGCGCTCACAGATCCGTCCCAGAGAGTTCTCGACTTCGGGTGCAAGCTCTTATCGCCTCTCTCAGATAATGTTCCAATTTGAATTCTGATAGTCACTGTATCGCATGTCATCCTGCCCGAGCCCAGCTGGAATAACCTTTTAGGCTATCGGCGATTATGTAGGGAAATAAAATAAATCTGTCATGCTATTGTCAGCATAGTCTAATGTATGCCATTCATCAATGACATGTATTTGATGAAACGAGTTGGGGAAAGCACCGAGCCTTTTGACATTAATGCAATATAACTCATTCTAAAGTTTGTATGCCTTTTCAGCTATGGTTAAGAGATTAGTTAAGGGTATAGTGCATACATTTACATTTGGTAATAAGGTTGCAATGAGGGTATAGTATTACTTCGATTTTTCTTTTCTTTGCTTTTCGAAGTTATTCAAGGGGAGAAACAATTGAATAGTTTTTTAATATGCTTTGTATAGATAGGTGTGAATAGTACTGTTGCTATGTCAATAACAACCGAATTGCCTAAAGCCGGGTTCAAAGTTAGTTTGCCGTATTTATTAAGCTATGTTTTATTGCCTTGCTCGACAAGCCTATATGCACTGAAATGTGTTCTGTTACTGTTAGTATATCACTGTTAATTGTTTTATACTTGAATTTGAAACCAACAACATTGTGACACAATGATGTGCACAATTTAACTTTAGAAAAGTGATTCAGCATCTTGCTTATTTACAATTTAGTTTTCGATTTTTTTTAAGAGCATGGAAGGCCTCATGGCGTACTTGGTGTTATCTGGCTGTCGGAGCGTATAGACGTTACAACGTGAATGCCATTACCAATCTTAATACGTGGTGTTTAAGTTTTAATTGCATTGTGTACCCTTCCTTCAACCCGGACAGCAGAAATAGGCTGAACGGTGTCTCTCGTCGGTGGATCGCCCGTGATATACGGATTATTAATTTGCTTGTAATTAATAACTTAGTCGCGGATTTATAAGCATAGTATGAATAGACTTTACTGGAACATCAAGAATAAAATGCTAAGTATGATGTGTTGCAAAATGTTGATTCCAAAGTACAGGTATGTTGTATATCCAAACGAGCCTCTGAGAATTCAAACTGACTTGACCAGTTCTTTCGAAATAATTTGTTATCCGATTTTTAGATTCAGTTATTGTGTAATGAAACCGCATAAATATATACCGGGCTTTTTATATAGAATCATTTTAAGTAGTACAATTGTGTAGTATATTGCATTGCAATTCATCGGGAATTTGTCATGTTAATAATATTATTCCTGACAATCAATGTATGTATAACAACCTAAACATAACACAAGCAAAATTTTATTTTCCACCCGGACATTTTCCTTGGTTGTAAAAAATATTAGGACCTTCAAAATTTAAGTCGCGAAAATATGACAAACCATTATTAAGGTTAATGAGGCATTTTACTTCATGCGCCATTTTATTACAAGCTCGTACTTTATAAAAAAAGGTGGCGTTAAGCGCTATTAAAATAATCCTCGATATAAATTTAAAACACATTCATTTAGTATAATAATACCTGACGAAAACGCACTCTAAAGAAACTTTAAAAATTATCATTCTATTGATCTATGCTAGGTTTTTTTTATTTAGGCAGACGAGCATACGGCCCACCTGATGGTGAGGTGCTACCGTCACCCATGGACTACAACAATGCTAGGGACAGAGCCAAGCCGCTGCCTACTACGTCAGAAATATATGCCTAAACCTCTACGTACTAGGTCCAAGATCCCGCGGTAGGCCCAAGAAACGCTGGTTGGATGTGGTAAAGGCGAATATAGAGGAGAATGACTTCACCCAGAAGGATGTTGAAGAGCAAAGTGGAGGAGGAGCTGAAATAGGAAAGCGGACCCTAGTACTAGACCGGGAGAACGCTAGGAAGAAGAAAAGAGAAGATGCTGCTGATCTAACAATGTCGTTACCTAAATCAATTGATGAATTAAAATGAAAACGTTGCCCGCAAAAAACTCAACTAATTTTCTTGAAAAAGTTTCAGACAATGTGTGTTGGAACTCCATATAACATAAGTAGTCCATAAATATAACTGGATGGGGCGAATAAAAATTGCCCTAAAACAAACATACAATGTATTTGTAGATAGATGGGTTTAAGTTTTTAAGAGAGATTTCATAATTCTTTTTTAGCCAGAAAATTCTGGAATTTTTTTAAGTGTAGAAACTAATACGGATGTACATTAAACAAAATAATAAATATCACAAAATAATTAATTCGATTAAAAATTAAATAAATGTTTTGTAGGTTTTGGGTTTTATTATAAATATTATTAAATGACGTTTTTAATGTGGTGGTTAGCCACCACATTAAAAACATCATGGAACCAGCCTAATTCTTCATTTACATATATTTTCAGTAAACATTTTTAATGTTCATAATATTCTATAAATTGGGTTCGGTTAACAAATAGCAAATTTTTAAAGACGAATTTTAATTTAGGATTTTTGTAAGTACGTGTTTGTTTTTTTTAAATAAAATAAAAAAAAATATTTTAACTTACCTTACTTTTGTCCCAAAATTTGAATGTAGAAGCAAGCACTGCGGTTTTCAATTGAGATGACACATTGAACGCTCATCGATACAACTGATCGTCACTAAATAAAATATCTCAATAAAACTATGGACCGAATATCGCGTGCTCACGGTTATTAGGGCCAATGTTAGCAATGAAATTTCTAGGAAATTAATATTTTCCGTTTTCATATATTATTGCGCGTGGCTGCGTGCTTCTAGCACACTGCACGGGCAAACGTCTAAATCTATAGTTCTCTATAGCTTGTTGCGCGCGTAGTTTTACAAGCAAATTAAGCTCACGTCGCTAAATCGACCTTGGCCATGTGAACAACAATGCTGCTGTTCACAATTCGGTGTTTGAATGAAATAAAATTACGTAAATATTTGGTAATTAGATAAATTGGATCGAAACACTTTTTTATTTTTTATTGTCAGGTACAAGCTGTACGAACGGTGCCTGAAGTCATTTAATATATCCTTTTTATTGTATTGATGAGCGAAGGAGCGGATATGATGAATTCCGAAGACTTTACTATATCTTGACGACCTATAACTACATTTAATTTTTAAAGAATTCGCATTCGGAAATACTACTATTACTGCGAATTGTTCGTAGTCTTTTTTTTGGTTTTCACGAGTCGTGCAAATAATTAAAACTTCATTTACGGTTTATTCTCCAGTTGACACAATATTCAAGTATCGACAAATAACATCTTAGTCGTCGATTACCACGAAAACTGAAACGTCAGAAATATTAAAAAATGATAATAATAAACCCTAAATTAAATCTTAGGTTTGTATTGGTTTTCATTGAAAAATTCGCATATAACATGCCCTATTTTTGGGTGTTTAATTTATGAATTTGTCAAAAAGAAAGAAAAGTATTTTGACACTTCTGAGTTTGTATTATCAAAGTTATATTAATGGGTTAAATAAATTAATTATTATAGATTTTAAATATTTATATTAAATTTTCAATTTTATTATTGCATTGTATTTATTCATTCTTGCTTTTTATGCTTGACTAGGATCTCGGTCGTTGGGTTAAAGTGAAGATAGTGAAGAATTTTACAGCATATCGTATTGGATGTGCTTTTTTTTGATTTTATAATAATATTATGTGTATTTCTTCTGTGCGTGTGTTTGTCACTGAACTCCTCTTTTTTTTTTTTTTTTTTTTTTTATTGTCTTTGTAGGCAGACGGGCATACGGCCCACCTGATGGTGAGTGGTTACCGTCGCCCATGGACTTCAGCAATGCCAGGGGCAGAGCCAAGCCGCTGCCTACCGCTTAATACTCTCCACAAGCCTCGTTTGAAGAAGGACATGTCATAGCGCTCGGGAAACACCGTGGAGGGGAGCTCATTCCATAGCCGGATGGTACGTGGNCTATCACACCGGAGGATGTTCGGTGGTGTGGCACCCCCGTCGTCCACAGTCGAGTTCGAGGCGAAGAGTTTGACCAGAAGGTCAGCCTTCTCTTTCGCACTATGGGCCAGACTGTCATCGGACTTGCGTAGTGGTGGGAGACTAGACCTGCAAAAGTTACCTTCTGCAGCTTTGGCGAGCGACCAAAAAGCACGGCTCCCAGAGGGATGAAGCGGCTGGACCGATTTTAATGAAATTTTCTGTGTACTTTCACGTGGATTCGATTTATAAATCAGCTCAGCAGATGGCGCTGCAGTCCGCATCTAGGTTATTTGTCTTTCCTAGAAATTATTTATATGGCAAAACAACGTTTGCCGGGCCAGCTAGTAATAATATTATTTCATGGATGCGCATAAGTAATTTATTGGTAACAAAAATGAGTTCATTCAGAAAAGAAAACTACTTAAATAAAAATAGAAATTTGTTATAGTTAGCGATTTTATTTCCGTACTTGTGTTTTACAATTATTAATTTATTATTAACATTTTCTTTTTAGTCGACTTCATAGAACGGCGCGATGCTGTGTTTTGACTGTTTGTATTTTATGCGTGCTCTTCGATTTATTTGGTAATTTTGGACAGGGCTTAAAAAGGTTTTTGTCTTATTGTTAACCGACTTCAAAAAAGGGGGAGGTTCTCAACTGTATGTTTTTTTTATGTTTGTCACCTCATAACTTTTGACTGGGTGAATCGATTTTGATGATTCTTTTTTTATTAGAAAGCTGACACTTCCCATGTGCTCTCATTTTCCCCATGTGCACTCAATTTAGTCCAGATCTGATAATGGTATCCATGAGAAAACCATATAAATCTTAAAGCATTAATTATGTGCGCGACAAATAGATGAATAACTCAATATCACGCTAACCGATTTCGATGATTATTGTTTTAGTCTATATTAATTTGTTTTGGAATAACTTTTTTTTTTCTATTTGAAGTCGGTTTTTGTTAAAGCATGTCTATTTACAATTATTACTTTCGAGGTGGTCCCGTCGTGATTCGGTCTGAAGTCGGTTTTCATTTATAATTTATACATTATATTATCACATAACGAACGAACAATTAACAAAAATGAACTATTGTAAAGCGTTAATTATTTTACAACAAATGCACATCCTTACTAAACAATAAGCAATTTTTACTTTACAAATTAACTTATAAATAATTTAAATTAAAAAAAAAACCATTGAGTCGAAAACATTTGCGCAAGACAATTGCGTTGTGAATAATTATTAATTTTTCGTGCGAAAATAAATACAATTATTTTTTAAAACCTGCTGTGAATTTTGCAATTTACATGCTATGACTTCGTCATGATCAGGCTTTGAAAACAGAATCATGTGATACTTGAATTACTTGTGTTTGTTTCAAAACATGTCCTTGAACTGGGAACCGGGCTCTTTGGTCAAGGTGTGCCTCTTTTAATGACTATATATTATGACATTGATAGAACTAAATTTACCAACATGTGTATTCTACATATATATTACAATTCGCATCTTTAATTTATGAGGGCTTATTAATATTCGAATTGCATCTTTACATCTTATTATATTATAAATAACATGATTTATGTAGGCGCGGGTCGATGTGCGTTTGGTATCAAATTATTACATAATCATTATGTACCTAAGTACTTATTTCCAATGTTATAAACTAGTATAGTTATTTCTACGATTGCACTAGTTCTAAATTTATTTAAGTTCGATAACTATTTTTTGTTTACGATGTATGTTTTTATTTTAATGTTTAGGAACTATTGGTAAGTTCCAGCAAATATATTATTTTTACAATATTAGGTACATCTGTTTTCTACATAACTCATACGTTCATGGCCTAGCTGGGGCATAAGGTTCCTTCTACAAAGGCGTTGGGAACGAAAATAATGCCGCCCACCTCTAGACGTGTTCGAAATCTGTGGAGGGTAGAGGTATGGAGCACATTCTCTGTATATGAAAAAACGTCCGTCGAAAAGCGAACTAGGATGGCGCCACTGTCGTAAGTGGTGTAATTTCAAAGTACCGAAAGTATTTCATGTTAATTTTTTTCTTCTCAGCACACTTCACTCTGTTACTAATATCATACGACTTGCCGCGCCATTGCTATTTTAGTGTATTTTTGAGTTATAATTTGCTGCTTATAGCTGTATATTTTTTAATTAGGCTCCCATATTCTCTTACTTCTAACCTCCTTATCGAACTCTTAATTGCATTAGAACATCGGCTATGCTAGACTATTTTTCTATTGTTAAATTCGTTTTGTTGCGCATGCATGTGCTTAATGTTTTACGACTAATTGGCTACACTAGGTTTGCAAAATGAAGGCAGTGCTCTAGAAATAATGGAGATCAATAAATGGACACCCTAAAAAAATTTACGTGCGAGAATTTTTCAAATAGGCTTTATTTACATTTTCAACAATTTTCGTGATGATATAACTAATAGCTTTTATCGCATTACTTTTTCTTACTCGTAAAAGAGAAAACACAAATAATAATAATCGCATTATTCATTTAAAATTTCATTCGACATTGACACAAAATAATAAAACTTATTACCTACTAATTCAAGGATTAATATGCCTTAATAATTTGATTTGTAATCGTAGCTATCACAGAATAGAAGACATTTGTCAAAAATCTGAATAGCGCTACTGATATTTTCACGATAAACTAGCATATATATATATACATACAAGTACCGTACAACAATATTCAGAAAATTTGGTCTACCGAGCAAGAAACTCGTTCAGTGGAAGATCCTTCCTTTGTCATTTACCTACTTACTATATATCGTCTTTTCGCATTACAACTGTATAATCTCAAAACTTACTAAATTTTACAGGAGAGTGTTTTAAAGGCTTAACACATTATGATATTTTTAATATTAATCATCTTTGCAATATTTATTTTTTAGTTTTTATCAGTTACATTATCTGTCTTTTAAAGTAAGATAAAATTATGTATTAATTTTGTTAATAGTAGTCAAAATATAGGTAAACTAAAAAAAAAACTAAAACTAAACTACGCTCTTTTAACAGCATTTATGAGAAAAATACTGTTGATACCAAATGATTCCGTATATTAACTCAATTTCGAATATTTTTGGAAATTGTACACTTAATGCGAAAAGACGATATATCTGTATCTTTGAAGCCGTAGGGGTTTAAAATCTATTTGAAAACGTAGATCTAAAATTTAGATACCCATTAGCTGGTCGGGGTTAATCGTTTTTACTACTAATTCACAAGCACCTAGACCTAAAACCGTAAGGGGATGTCTAAAAATAATTTCATGCGCTCTCCGATGTCGGTCAGAGTGCGCTCGTCGAGCTGTTAGCTGTCGTCGTCGTTGATAGCATCTTCGTCGTCGTCATCGAGAGGCTGGCTGGTGAGCGCCGCCCAGAGCGGAGACCTGGCGCCCAGCACAGCCGAGCCACGCCGCTAGCTGTCCCGCGTGCACGCCACCGCCGTGCTGGCCGTTCCCACAGCACCGAAGATGATCGCTCCCACTTCACGATCCGGTGTTACCTCGACCTGATTACAATCAAATGTTTTAAAGTGAACCTTTTACCCTCTCAAACTTTTTCGTCTATGTGTTGCATGTCGCGTGACGGCCGGCCGCGGAGTAGGGATAAAGTGAAAGGCGCTCGTCAGAGCAGCCAAGGCCAATATGGCTACGCCTACAGTTCGCAGCAGTGTAGTGTATAGACTATTACTCATTTATGCCAGTGCTCCACTCTATTTTGTTTGTTTTTGTCAGTGTTGTTTGTCAGAGTTAAATGTCTATAATGTGAAAAAAAGTTACACTTTCACCGTGGTTTCATAAAACCACACAATCCTTTTATTTATTGCTTAGATGGGTGGACGAGCTCATGGGCCACCTGGTGTTGAATGCTAAGCGGAGATATCATAAGTCTAAGTTTTATAGTAATGAGTGTCTCAGATGTTTTTCGTTTTTGGATGTTAAATAAATAAGAACACTATTTATTAAAACTCGTTTTATTTATTATTAAATTAAAGAGCAGTTCTTGAAGTTTATTTATGAAAAACAACCGTTTGCAAATGTGCATCATTCACTTGTTCACACTCATTTAACCTGGAGCTAAAATTTTCAATCACTCGCTGAAGCATCGCTCATGGAATAAGAGTTGATTTCTTTCGTGATTTTTTTGTTTCAAAACATTCAGGTTGGGTGGCATGAATTTTACATTTTAATTTTTAGGTAGCCTCATAGGAAAAAATCAGCAGGCGTTAAATCAGGGCTCCTCGGTGGCCAGTTGATGTCTCCTCGGCGACTTATTACTCTTCCACGGAATATATCTTGAAGAGCAGCTAATGAGTCATTTGTAACATGAGATGTGGCTCAATCTTTCTAGAAAAAGATGTCGCAGTTGTAGTTGGTTTTGCATTTCTGTAGCCAAAAAAGTCCGGATAATATGGCAGTATCGAGTAGTCAATTCAAAAACGAAAAACATTCTGAAACACCCTTTACAACGGCTGCTCCACCCTTCAAACCGAATCATATTAGTGCTTCACGGAAAAAATAGGCAGGGTAGTGGTACCTACCCGTGCGGGCTTCCAATGCTATCAGTGATATTAATTTTTGTTTTTAATTAAGACAAGTGCATGGGCAGAGCAACCACAGTCCACGTGTTAAGTGATTATTCGGAAATGTTGCCGATATTAAGGCATACGAACAAAATCTATTGTATTGGAAATTACCGGAAAAGTTTTTTTTAAGTGTTAGTTAAGACATTTTTTATTTTGACAGCTAAACTAATCAGTATGGAAGAAAAATGGCCAACATATACTCGTATAGCCTGGAATATAGGACATTGACTAAACGATAGCAGAAAATTCAAAAGACACACAAATATTGTATTATAAATTCTAAATTGTATAATTTGAGTTTTTCGTAATTGTCATATTTACAACCTCTATATATATTTTCCCATAACTTATGTTATACGCAGAGAGCTTTAAAACTAGTTTAATAATGGATACTAAATTTTAGTTTCATCCGCATGTGTATTATGAAACAACACGTACGCATATCTAAATTACGTAACATTGTATAATTTATATTATGGCCATGTTGTTATTGCTCAATAAAAGGTGTGGTGAGCTGTCACTTTATTAACAATAACTTTTGTATTTTAATTATAATATAAAGTATAGCTCAAGCTATAATTTTATTGCCTTGAGAATTTTTCATGAAGTAATTCAGTCTTCTACTTTTTATTATCGCACCACACGCACCCGAATCGAGTTAATCTCTACTACTTGAAATAGCTGGGTTTATAAATAGTGCGTTTTAAGAATTTTTCATGAAGTAATTCAGTCTTCTACTTTTTATTATCGCACCACACGCACCCGAATCGAGTTAATCTCTACTACTTGAAATAGCTGGNAGGGTGATGGGAGAGATGTGCTCCGCACTAAACGCTTCACTTTCCCCCCTTTGCCTTTTCATGAGTTCTGTCTCATGCGAGGTTTGGATGCTGGTTGTTGAGCGACAGGAGGTTTTAGTCGGTTCAACTCCGACATGCCCCGCCCTCCATCCCCAGTGGAGGGCGGAAGTCCGGTGATTTCCTCCTGACAAAAAAAAAAAGGGATGGTTTGTAACAGGTGAAATTAGAGACCTGTTCCACCTGTTCCTGTTCCAGTGAAAGAACAGTTCTAGTAGCCTGTTCCAAAATAACGGCCTGTTCCAATATAACAGCCTGTTGTGTTGCAACAGGTTTAATAATGTTTTACGTAGAATATGTTCCACATAAAGGAACAATCATACTTAAAAATGGTTTTAGTACATTTTTTTAAATTAAAACAATCCTGCATGCTCCTTCTCAGGCTTAGTACTGACAACACGATTTATTAATATTAATGATATGTAAAACTAGTTTTGCCAAAATTTGCATGCATGTTAATTTTATTGCTATCTTTTTCTATTACTGTACGTGAAAAGGGAAAAGAGCTTGTTCCAAACTGTTTCGTTTCTGGCTGTTTGCTGTGGAACGGAACGACACAACATATGGAATATTATGGAACAGTTGGAACAGTTGTTTCGGTCTATAGACAACAGTTCCAAGTTTTTTCATAGACGAACCTGTTCCGTTTGACTGTTCCGATAAATACGCCTCCTTCCTGGCCCCTGATCCACACTCGCAGTTTTCCGTAGTAGCGTACAAGACATCGTAGGGAGTGGTTATGCGTGCGTAGGTGATTGACCTAAATATGAATACTACGTGGTATAATTCGTCTCATCCACCAACGTCTTCTTCTCGATCTGTTTTTTGTGTGCTTCTTAACTTTAACACAAAGGTAATTAATACGCAATGGCATGCAGAGACACAGCAGCAGAAATCACGTCATCGTATATCATAGTCGTGAACAAAACTGGGAAGCTTGGCGAGTGTCGAGGG